GAATTATACCTATGTATTCTATGTACATATAATAAAATTCATAATTTCATTTCCCATAAATAAAAGCTTATCGCGCTCGACTTCGTGTACTTTTTTTACCCTACATAATAATTCTGCCCCAATACCAATGAACATAATAATTATTAACATCTTGTATTGCAATAGCCGGGATCCACGACAATGGGCCGCTTTCACATTTTTCAAAAACATTTTTAAATTATACTTTTAGTCATTCTAATACTATCTGTATACTTTTTTTCCGAAAAAAAACGCTCATTTTTGAAAAAAAAATTATTTAAAAATCGAATTTTTAAACTGGCGTGAAAAAATTAACTTGGTGTGTGACGTCACACACCAGAAAATCAAGGATGCCAAATCTCTCATTAGTAAATCATTACATATTTCACTAGCTAGAAACTATTTTCGTCCTTTACTACATTATAAAAAAATAAAGGATAGGTATAATCCTTATTAACTCATTTAAATTTCGCATTTCTACATGTGACAACAAAAATGTCAAAATCGGCCTTAGCCAATCACAGAGCGTTTTCAATCACGTGATTTTTCGTTTAAATTTTTAGTTTTTATTTATTAATTTATTTAATAATCTGACTAAAATCTTGCAAAATATTGTTCATTCTTGGTTGCATTGATGTATCTGCGTCAAAAAATATTATAATTTGCCATATTCCCGGCACGTGAAAGTGGCCCATTACCGGTGCTTGTTGATGACGTCATTGAAAACGCGTCATAACCGGGATTCATATGAATACCGGTGCCGGGAGGCTAGACACAGCGTATAAAAAAAGGAGAACTTAAGGGCACAAGTGTATTTATAAAATATCTTTGAAATGGGCCTATCTATACGCCCATCAAGTTTGGCTAGCCCTCCGCCAAACACCCTGTATATCTGCTAGAATTTCCATCACTATCTCTGGCGCACATTTGACTATAGCTCGATAGGAATATTTCCTGGCCCCGGAGGCTTTACATTTTCCATATCTTGTTCTAACCTCTTTCGCTGTTATGGGTTTCCACATGATTTACTTCATCTTCCTCAAATCTGTCCCTTGAATTGTTCTCTTTCCTGCGTCAGCAGCTTCTTGTAGTACATATTGAGTCTCTTCTTCCATAGGTAGGTATTATCCAAACATCCACTACGTCCTTGCTACCTTTTCGCACTCTCTTTATAACTTTCCATGCTGCCACCCTTGAACCTCCCAAATATCTTTCGATCTCTTGGCACCGCTTCTCTCATGTTTTGTTTTTTTGCCTTACCACCTTTTTCATAATGTTTCTATTCATTTGTCTATAAATTCTTCCATCTTCTGCATTCGCGGAACTTAACTACTTCTGGTAAGCTACCTTCTAGGTCTTCTGACCACCATTCAGGATGTGTTTGTTTATTTTGTCTTGAGAGCCTAATATCAAGACAAAAATGCAGCCTGGAGATTTTTGAAAACCACTCACTTTTCACTTTTATGTATATTTTACAAAATCCTTTAAGATAAAACAAAATTGAATACCTCGAATAGATTTCGAGATATTGAGCCTCAAAGTTGAATCTTTGTCTCAAATTTTGGAAAACCTTCAAAGCAGATTATCAGAGAAACGACGCCTCAGGGATCGGTATCACAACTGAACTCAAAACCCCAATTGAGAGCTACAATAGGACAAAATTTCGTGCCGATAGCTTTTCTGGTTTCCAAAATATGGCCCTTTGAAGGGCGACTGACTGGGATGCGTATAAAGCACACCGAGCGCAGTATAAAGGGGAAATTCGCAGATCACAGAGAGAAACTTGGAGATATTTCTGCAGTGATATACAAAACACTACAGCTGCAGCTCGGCTGAAGAAAGTGCTGTCCAAAGACTCTCAACCGCTAGGTCTGCTGAAAAAAGAGGATGGTACATATACCACCACCACCAGCACATGTTTCCGGACTGTGAGATCTTAGAAAATATCACACCTGGAATAACCATAAGACTGTCACTCCTACGGAGGTTGATTGGCTGGTGAGCCAAGAAGTGGTTAGTAAGTCAAAAGTCGAGGAAGCAATCAATAGCTTCTCTCCATATAAAGCCTCAGAACTGGACGGGATATATCCGGTGCTCCTACAGTGGAGTCTGGATTATTATCTTAGACCATTTCAGTCATGGTTGATAATAGAATTTCAACTAAATGGTATACTAAACCAACATGGTCAGGTAAATATCAAAACTTCTTCTCAAACCACCCAAAAAATCAAAAACTGAGTGTCATCATTGGCTTAACAGATCGTGCTATTGCTCTCACTTCTCCCCAATTTAGACCAGAAGTTTTAAAGAAAGTAACAGAAACACTTATCAAAAATGGTTTTACTACAATTGATATAAACCGAATAATAAAGCCAGCTTATTTTCAGAGCGTGTTTTGCTCTGGCATAGATACCTGAGAAATGAAGAGAGGTACCCAAAAGGAATCTTTATACCCAAGCCAGGCAAAACTGATTATGCTAAGGCCAATTCATACCGCCCAATCAGTCTCACATCCTTTTTATTGAAGGCTCTTGAGAAACCGTGCGAAGGAAACTTAAGGAAAGGACCCCTTGCACGTAACCCCCTTCACCGAAACCAACATGCATATATATCAGGGAAATCCACGGAGACTGCTTTCCACGCAGTCGTGTGCAGGATTGAACAGATTGGAAAATGTCTACCCTGGCAGCATTTATTGATATCGAAGGAACGTTCGACAGAACGACCTTCGATAATATCAAACAAGGCCTAGCTTACATGGGGCTCCACCTACCATCACCAGATGGATAGAGAGGATGCTAAGCTGGCGAGTCGTGAAAGCTGATACAGGGGACACAACTATCAATGCTCTGGTTAAGAGAGGCTGCCCACAAGGTGGTGTGTTATCACCGATCCTCTGGGACCTTGTGGTAGACAGCCTCCTACATAGCTTAAATAATGCGGGATTCTCTAATATAGGTTACGCAGATGACTTGTGGAGTCTGCTTACAGGCAAGGTTGAGAGCCTTCTATGCGATCTCATGCAAACGGCTCTTAACCAACCAAATTTCATCTTGGTGTGAGGAGCACTCCCTGACGGTGAATCCACTGAAAACGGAGTTGATTCTCTTCACCAGGAAAAGAAAGTTAAGTGGTATGCAAATACCCAGGCCAAATAATACCAGGCTACAGCTGACCCCAGAGGTCAAGTACCTGAGAGTTGTGCTCCATCAAAAGCTCAGCTGGAAAAGACACATTGAAATAAAAACGGAAGAAGGCGAACATGGCCATGTGGTAGTGCCGCAGGGCGATGGGCAGGTCATGGGGCCTCGCACCCAAAATCACCCTGTGGATATACACCGCTATCATAAGACCGATGGTTTGCTATGCAGCTCTGGTCTGGTGGCCCAGAACCAGACAAGTAAAAACGAGGGCCCTACTCGATAAAACGCAACGACTTGCGTGTATCGGGATCCCGGGCGCTATGAGAACCACCCCTACGAGGGCAATGGAGGCGGTCTTGGATCTGCCACCTCTGCACTTGTATGTCGAGTAGATGGCCCTTTTGACCGCCTGCAGATTAAACCCCTTGGGCTTGTGGCAGCACGAAAGCCGGGTGCGGGGACACTGCCGCATACTAGCGGAAGGGTGCAGAAATGCACCCCTGCTGGGAGCGGTGGTGGATCGCACGATGCCCACACAGATAACAAAAAGATCCTACAGTGTCTATAAGTTGGGTGAGGAGCAGGCTACCCCAACGGTCTCAATATACACAGACGGATCGAAAACCAGTAGAGGAATAGGAGCGAGTGTTTTCTCACCTGCGGTGCGATTTTCGAAACCATTCGAGTACTTTTCGTACACGAAATTGGACTGCTCCCCATTTAATTTACATTGCTGTCAGTCAAATTTCGTGTACGAAATGTACTCGAATGGTTTCGAAAATCGCACCCCTGAACTGAACCTTCGCATAAGTACCTCCCTTGGTGACCACACCACCGTCTTTCAGGCGAAATTGAGATCGACCATCCAGGGAGCCAAGATAGCTAACGATCAAGAAATCGACGGCAAACGAGTGCGATTTCTAACGGATAGTAAATCTGTGCTGTCGGCCCTTGACAGCACTAGAACAAACTCAAAGCTGATTATGCAGTGTATAGAGGCTCTAGAAGAACTCGCACAAAAGAACACCGTTGAACTCTGTTGGGTCAAAGGGCACTATAACAACGCAGGCAATGAAGAGGCTGACAGTCTTGCCAGAGCAGCTTCAGGGAAAGCCCCGATGGGACTTTAATCCATGATCCCTTTGTCAACTGATACCGTCATTGCCGAGGTTAAACGAATCACTCATTCAGAGCACGCCAACATGTGGTGCAGTTTAGGCACTTGTAAGCAGGGCAGATGAATGATCGACCTCCCTAGCAGGAAAAGAGCCGAGTATAGTATACAGTTGTCGAGGGAAAACCACCGCCTATTGGTAGGAATTTACTCAGGACACTGTAGACTAAATAAACACCTTTACACCTTGGGTGCTGTTGAGACCCCAATGTGTAGATGGTGCGACGCTGCAGACGAAATGGTTGAGCATGTGCTTTGTCACTGCCCAACCTTTTGTTAACAACGGCAAGCCATACTGGGAGACATCTGGCCTGATATGGCCAGGTTGAGGTGCACCTCACCTGGAACTCTCCTGCAATTTATCCAACGGGTGCGATGTCTGCGGGAAACCCTCGGGGAGAAGAATGCGCCTTAACAAATGGAGGTGACACAAAGGGCCCTAAGGCGAGGCCTAGTGTCAGTGAGCACCTTTGCAACTATCCAGATCCAGATGGCTCTTTGAAATATTTGAGAATGAAATTTCCTCTTTAGATAAAATTAAATTTTGATTTTTTGAGATTTTTTAATTTTGGAATTTATTTAACACACCAATGTTTTTCATGTATCTATTTGTCTGATCTTAAAATATATACCTTGTACTTAAATTAATAAAAGCATTCTTTCAGATTCAAATTTACTAGATCCAGTTCAGCAGGACCGTTAAGAAGATCCTTGAGAGTTTCTGGAAAATCAACAGATAGTGGCTATGGAGTTTCAGTTTCAGTCGGTCCTAGCTATCATTCAGATACAGAGTTAAGGCAAGTATTATCAATCATATATAAAAATGAGCAGAAAACTATAACCATATAAAAATCAAATTGTTTCTAGATATCCAGATGAGTTTCAGAAAACTTCGTCCCGTTCTGCCAGCGTACCAACCAGACCCAATCGTTTTTCAGAAATGTCTTCTACTTCATCCGCGAAGAAGCAACCAACCCAACAAAATCATTTCCCAAAACAAAACTCCATAACGAGCAGGAAGAAGTTTAGCGAAACTATTCCTCTGGATCCGATGTTGATTTCTGATACTCCAATTTTGTGTAATCGCTATGTGATTGGGAAACAGGATGTTTTAGCTAACACGATTCCAGGTTAGTACTTATATAATAATCCATTCAATTTCTCAGCCTTGTAAAACCGTGTAAAACTTTTAATAACGATGACAGAAATGTTTCTCTTTAGGAATCACCCTTAGAAAAACGGAGTTTAGAAATAACGTGCCCCAAGGTAAAATTGAAAATGTGTTATCCTTGAAATCAATTTTGTCATAAATCTTTGTACATTTTAATTTAATTTAACTTCACCCTCAAAATGATCCCCATAAATCACTGATTGTTTTTTTGGATTCCTGGTTTCTATAGTCGTTAGTATTTTCATAACAGTTTATTGGTTTTTTCTATCGCAGCATTTGAAAAATAACCCCAACTACTATTTTATTCGAAATGTCAAATACACAGAATTGTTTAATGCGTTGAAAAATTGCACGTTTGATTTTTCTAACCGCCCCTCTTCTAAAACTCACCACCGTGGATAATGCAGCAAACCAAAACAGAATTGAGACATGGTAAAACATTAAAAATCTTTAGGACGAAGAGCTGTTTCCATGCCACGATCCTCAAACTTTCTCCAACCGCCTAGAAGTTATACGCCAGATTCTTCAACTGACAAAGAAGATTTGGATGAACCGTCTAGGCAACATCGTAGAAGAATCAAACCTAGAAGATCCAGATCTCCAATTCGTAAGTTAACTGTGTGTGTTTTCTTTATAAAATCAAAAGGTTCGTTTTAATAATTTGTTTTGATCCATTTTCTTTAAGATAATCCTAGTCCCAAAATGATGACGCCACTAGGATATGGCCAGCCAAATAAATACTTAGATGATCCTGATTCAGATGAAATAGACGAATACAGTTCCTTCTATGAATCTACTGGAAGAGGAAAACCAAAACCAGTTCCAATATGGCTTTGTGTTCTTCTTGTCATTAGCTATATTTTAGGTAAGTATTTGTTTAAACAAAACTGAGCTTAAAAGAAGGTATTTTCTAGCTGGAGCTTACTTGTTTAAATCATGGGAAGGATGGGATTATTTGGATTCAGCCTATTTTTGTTTTATTACTTTAACCACGATAGGGTTTGGGGATTTGGTACCAGCAAAAGGAGTCAGTCAAGATAGGTAGTTTTTATTTTTTTCTATATTTAACATTTATTTGAATAATCTTTTTTAGGTATTATGCTACCATCAGTATAGCACTATGTTCTTTATACCTACTTTTTGGTATATCTTTACTTGCAATGAGTTTCAATTTGGTGCAAGAAGAAGTAATTTCGAATGTGAAAAGTGTAGCAAAAACTTTGGGAATTATCAAGGCGGATTCTGATGACGATTCTGAAAATGAATAAGTTGTTCACTAGTTGAAATAAAAAAGTATTTACATAAAAATATTTTTATTTCTTTACACCAACATATTAACAATAAAAACTATGTGAGCAAATTTTCTTTATAAACATCATTCGGGCTCTTAACAAAGTTTCTACCATATTGTTTTGGATTATGACTAGTAAAAACCCTAAAAATTACAGCAAAAATACTGTTTTTAAATGCAATTTCAGATGATTGTTTCCATGTTTGGTTTCAATATTTTCTAATTCATAAAATATATTTTTTTCTATATTTAATAAAAATAAGAACCTAATTTTAAGATTTTGATTTGTTTCAATTATCAAAAGGCTTCTAAGGCTAATGTTTTTTTTTTTTTAATTTGTGAAATTTTTTTGTAGATACATTTATGTATTTCACAATTATTAGTTCTTTAAATTCACACCATATTAACAACAACAAAATAAAATAATATAAGACAACAATTCTACTTCACTAGCATGTTTGAGCAAAAATTCATCATTCATCAAAATGTTTGCTTATCGGCACCTTAACCATTAATTTATCTATAAAATACATTTAATAATAATTTTTCAATAAAACATTAATTATCTACAAAATTAATCTATCTACATCACAATTTATTGGAATGGATTCAATACTAAATTGCATGGCAACTATAGACTATTTTAAGGTCCCTTTGGACAATCTCTTCATTAACAACATGTTAATATATAAATTCTATTTGCCACATTTTTAGCTTAGAAACGAAATTGATATTTCATGTTTGACTGTTGATTATGAAGCAACTGGCCCTTAAAAAATAAGCAATAAATAATGTAAGAAAAAATCGCAGAAATAAATACAACAAAATTGACAGACAAAAAATCGATTTATAAATTGTTTTATGTGAGGACCTTAAATACATATTTTTTTTTAAATTCAATCCCCAATGCAATACTGCAAAATAAAAAGGCAAGAATAAGTTCCTTGTTTGGTAGCTTTTGGCACAGATTTTATAAACTGCAAATCTTAAACTAAAATAAAATAAAATTTTACAAAATATACAAGATAAAAGCATATACAAATTTGCATAACAATAACAAAAATAAAATAATAACATGATATTTAGTTTTTTTTTTTTAACTAAGCCAGTCAAATTTGTATGCCGAATTATTATCTATAAGTGTGTAAAGCCTTTTTGAATGTTAAATTTCCCCATCTGCGTCTACATCTTGAAATTCCAGTAAAGTATAGGTTTCTCTTCTAGAAATAAACCTAGAAATTTTTTTTTTATAAAATAATGAATTTTTATAAAATTCTGGATAAACCATTTCCAACAATCTGACTGTTGTTAAAACAAATCTTATATGAATAGATAATGGTTCTTACCTATTAGATGAATGTATAAGTAAGCTACTTCGTCTCCGTAAATTTTTCATTCCTATTTCAATTGTATTCTTGGTGAATACCAGTGATTTATAGGTGTTCACGATAACTCCTATTATAAGACAACTTCCGAGTAGAATGCAACCGTAGGTCATCAGTGGACAAGCGATTTCTGCAAAAGTTGTAGCCAGGTACATCCAACGACGGATTGGTGGAGTCAAATCGTCTATGCCCTAAATTCATATTTATTTAGTATTTTATTTCTATTATGATTATTAGTAGTGAGGAAAACCACTTATTCAAAATATTATTTCTTCAAATCTTAAATTTTTAAAACGTCTTCTGTAGAAAGGAAATGGTAAATGTTGCAACCTTGTATGCGCTGTGAAATTGATGGGAACGGCGGCGCGCCAGGGAAAAAGGTACCGAAGGGTGAGTAGACAGAAAATGCGAGACCAAGAAGAAGCTTCTCTACCATTGTTCATTATTCAATCCAATTTGTGATTAGTTTGTGTGTCATAGGGATAATTCACAGGTCAGTTGAATAATAGTTGTTTATGCAACAAGTGTGAAAAAAGGTGCTTTACGCACGTATTGCATACAAAATTTTTTCTACTACCAATCAAATAATGTCTAAAAAAATAGATTTAGCCAAATACTTTACGCACTAGTGCGTAAAGTATTTTCACTGTACGCACTAGTGCGTGAAGTAATTTACCAGAAAAATACTAAATTGACAGTATTGACATCTGTCATTGACATTACTTCACGCACTAGTATGTGAAGTGAATTACTTTACGCACTAGTGCGTGAAGTGAAATTTTACATCTTCTGAATAGTGCGTAAAGTGAGAACTTTACACACGTTTCATGCTGTAAACCACGCAGATAAAAAGTAAATTAAAATCTAAAGAAATTATGTGCTGTCTTTTGTGCTGGGATTTTGATTTTTGCTATTCAGAGCGTACATTAGGGCCTTGTTGAATCTACTAACATTTTCCTACTCTGACGAGCGAATATCCTAGCAAATAAATTGAAAAATCAATCTAGAGATATTGGCTCAAAATAACAACCATAGCTGAGTAGCCTCCCGTACGGGACCTCAGTACCTGCTGGTGAAACTGGCTAACTAACCAAAAATACTTCAGTATTGAATATAGGTAGTGTTGAATGTAGTGTGTGAAATTAAAATTTTAGCACAAGGACAAAGGACGATACCTAATTTAAAGTTTCATTGACTCACAATTAATTAATAAAATATCACAGTATGTTTTGATTTTTGAGGAATGTTAGATCGAGGGTTTCTCTACCGTGCTCTTTCCCCTCGTGAGTTCCAGGTCGAGAGCGGTAGGATTTTCTAATAATAAATTAGATATTTCACAAATTTTTTGTTTATTTTACATATCACAACTTCCCTTAAATTTCCCTAATTTTGCTAATGTCGGGCGCATGTCAAGTAAGTGAAAATTGAGTAAGTTTCCACAACGTAAGTCCTATTTATTTTTAATTTAGTTTTTCAGAAGAGTTGTTATAAGAAGAGGTAATAAAAATTCACACCGTTCAATTTGGTGAATGAACCCGGGTATGTTATACTACACTAGTTAACAATAGTAAGCGGTAAAAATAAACCGATGAGAGAAGTCTGTTCCCAAACAGGTTGACTGAAGATGTATTTAGTGTCCCAACCTTAGATTGTCCCAACTGATTCGACTAAGTATTTCAAGGGCGATATTCAGTCAATCTCAATCTTCTGATAATTTTCTTCAAGAGAAATTATTATTATTTTTTTATTGATAGCCTATTTTTCTTATTTAAAGTACTCCTAAGCGTGTTTAAATCCAACTTTCAAAAACGCGCGTGTTTTAATAAAGTTACCAGGACAACATCAACAACCTGAGAAAGGTAAAGTCTAAATATCAACTTTTCAATTATTGATTTGTCAGACAACGACAGGTATACCAGGTGTCATATTACGAATTAGGCATTCTACAATTATCAGTAATTTATGATTTGAACGTATAGGTACCAATAAAAAAAAATAGTGTAAAGTATTCGTGGATAACTGGTCTTTAAAACACTTGCTCTATTTCGTCGTGCTCGAAAAATCGCGCGTGTTTTAAAGACCTTAATATCCACTTATACTTTAATATACTATTTTCTACATTGACATTGACTTTAACTTAGCAGCACTTTAAAAATATATCTTTTTCAAGAAATTGGAATAAATTCCTTTTATCTACAAGCTTGCGGTAACTAAGGTATATTACACGATTTTGCGTGCGGTAAGTACCACATTACCGCACGGCGTGCGGTAATATTATTAAACTCTGTCTAACCAAAGTTGAACGTTGAAGGTCACTTAGGTAATCGAATATATCACAGACGTTGCTTTTTGCTGACCTTCAACGTTCAACTTTGGTTAGACATAGTTTACCGCACGCTCTACCTACGTACTTTTAATTATCTACCAGAGATAAATTACCTACCTATGACCTAAATTCTACTTGTACATACACTGTCAGGGGTGACAGACGCAATTTTTTTTATAATTTTTTAAACTTCTTTCGGATATTTTGTTACCGCGCGCTTGTACATAAAATACTGTATATAATACGTATGGTAATTAGGTTATTACCGCCCTTAGAGATTGCAAACCTCGCTTCACCGGCTCGGTTTGCAAATTTCTCTTGCGTGCGGTAATAACCTAGTTACCACACTTACTAGATATATAATATACTATTATACACTTTTCGTATTGAAAGTACCCGTTAATCTTTGTTTCAAGGGAGAAAAGTGGGTGTTTTCTTCTCCGAGAATAAATTTCACTTTATTTCCCAAGGGATTTGAAAATTAGATCATGTGTCTCTAGTAAAGCGATCAATTCGACATTTTGTGGCACAAACACAAAGAAGGACATATGCAGTGGTGGTAGAGGACAAGGACCGGGACTACAAAGATATAGTAAAAGATATAAAACAAAACCTAAGAAACGCAGCGGAACTAGACAAAGTCATGGCTGTAAGACAAACCAGAAACGGACGAGTCATCATTGAAAAAGATGAAAAAGCAGTCAAAATAATAAAGGAAATCATTGCGGCAAAACAGAAAACCAAGGGAACCAGAGTGCACTCCATAGAGGAAAAGAAAATATGAGACACCATATTTATAAGATATATGGTCATCACCACAACAAGAGAAGAGGTTATATCAGCAATAGAACCCGTCACTGAAGAGTAGCTCACAGAAGAGAAATACAAACTAGGGAAGTTTAGACCAAGTGCAAGCGGAGATATGCTGAACGCAACACTTAGAATTGAAAAAGAACTTGAAAGGAAACTCCCGACTGCCAAAAATCTTAAGATCGGCATGACCAGGTGTCAGCTACAAAAACACTGACCTTAAGAGGTGCTCCCGGTGCTGGCAATACGACCATGTGACAACAGACTGCAACGGGCCGGATCGCAGCAAACTGTGTTTCAACTGTGGGGAACCAGGACACTTGGCGGAAAAATGTAAGAAAGAGGAAATATGCGGCATATGCAATGGAGAAGCACACAAGGCAGGCACAAACAGGTGCCCCTCCTTTAGACGAGCTCTGAGCATCGCAAGGTGAAACGATTACAGGGACAGGGTAGATGAAGGCAACCAGGTAGAAGTCGAACAACCACTAGATGGCCAATAAACCCACTTACAGCAGAAAAACAATGAAAGTCCTAAAACTTAACTTAAATAGGTGTAGGGCAGCGCATGACCTCCTGCTAAAAACAATGCATAGGACAACAGCTGAAGAGACGAAACCAAAGAATAGATTTTTGTGATACATGTGATACCTTCATACATAAATACCAGCAATAAGCATAGTGTGATGTAAGTAGTTATAGGGGCAAGGACTTTGTGTATGTAGAATTGGATAAATGTTGTGTGTTTTCGTGTTACCTCTCACCGAATGGAAATATAGAGGACTTTGAGGAACTCTTACAAAAAATGGAGACCGAAATGGGGAAAATAAAAAAGGAAATAATCATAGGAGGGGACCTGAATGCAAAAACGCCGGAAATAGGTTCACGAAACAGCAACTTAAAGGGCAGAATGCTAGAGGACTGGATGGCTGCAAAGAGACTCATAGTAATAAACGAGGGAAGTAAACCAACTTTCAGTAGTGCGCAAGGAACATCCATAATTGATTTTACGGCAGCAACCGAGGATATCTGTGGACACGTGAAAAATTGGAGAGTATAAAAAAAAAAACGAGAACCTGAGCGACCACAACACAATCACTTTTGAGGTTGAGTGGGAGACAAATACAGCCACGACAGGAACATTGAACGGAGGTAAAAGAGGATGGCACGTGGAGGAAACGAGCCCGAAAAACTTTACGAGAGAGTGTAGAGAGATGCTACGAGATGAAATAGATGTCACACACGAAATGCTAGTGAATGGGATCATTGAAAAATGCAATGAAAACTTCCAAAAAAGAAACAAGGGATACCGGGGTAGAGACCTAGCGTATTGGTGGAACAGTGACATAACAACAAAAAGGAAGGAATGCATCAAACTAAAGGGGAAGGGTATAAGAGCACGAGCAAGAACTGGAAAGGAGGAAGAAGAAAGGATAAAAGAACAGTACAAGGCAGCAAAACAGGATTTGAGAAGGCTAATAGGAAAGAGCAAATATGACAAATGGAAACAGCTGATAGGGGAACTAGATGAGGACATATGGGGAAAGACAAAAAAATTAAAATCACGATTGAGGACACTAGTAGATGAAAACACGGTGAAAAGCTCTCTGCAAGAAGAGCGAATAAGGCACGAAATGGAGATGGTACCAGAAAATGAAATACAACTGTTCACTGCGGAGGAACTCAAAGAAGCAATTGGAATGATGAAGAAGAAAAAGGCTCCAGGGCCGGACGGAATAACTCCAGAGCTACTAATGGCGGGTGTCGATGCCAATCCAAATATATTTATGAAAGTTTTCAACAGCTGCCTTAAGAAAGAGGAATATCCTGGAATATGGAAGAATGCCAATTTAGTTTTGACTGACAAAACAAAAAAAGACCCGATGGGATTACTTGCTTTTAGACTTTTATGCCTTATCGATACCATAGGCAAATTGCTGGAAATGTTGATAAAGATAAAGATGCAGGAGTTCCAAGAGAGAAATATAAATAACGCAGACCAATACGGTTATACCAAGGGCAAGTCTACGATAAGCGCCATACAAAGAATACAGGAGATCAGGGAGCAGATAACAAAGAAAACATACAAAAACAGGGAGATATGTCTGATTATACTATTAGATATGAAGAACGCTTTCAACAGCGCTCCTTGGAAGGAAATAGTGAACGCACTGAAGAAGGGCGGCATATCGAAATACCTGATTAGAGTAATACAGTCATATCTATCGGAAAGAACAATCACAACCACGAATGGGGACGTGCACGAAATCACATGTGGGGTACCATAGGGATAAGTTCTGGGACCGATTCTATGGAATGCCTTCTACAACAGAATTCTTCAGATTAGAAAGGAAAAAGGAATTGGCTTGGTCGCTTACGCGGACGACTTGGCCATCATCGTAATGGCAAAGACATAATTACAATTGAAAGACAAAGCGGAACGCGCACTAAAGCAAGTAATAAAGGAATTGGCTGAAATGGACATAGCCATAGCTCCGGAAAAGACAGAGGCCTTGCTACTGGTTGGCAAAAGGCGAATAAAGGGGATAGAAGTGAACGTGGGAGACGTTAGTGTAAAGACATCCAACTCAGCTAGATACCTAGGAGTGTTTCTTGATAGAGACCTCCGCATGACGGCTCAGATAAAATACACAGCTGAAAAGGCCAACAAGATGATGAACCTTCTGTATAGAATAATGTCAAGGGTAGGAGGAGCAAAAATTTGCAAAAGAAGAATTATGGCCACAGCATTAATATCAGCTGCCCTGTACGCAGCCCCAACCTGGATAAATGCATTAAGATTTAAAAAATATAGAAGCATGCTGGAGAGCGTAAACAGAAGACTGGCTATTGCGCTGGCCTCAGGATACAGAACGGCGTCAGGAAGAGCGATTAAAGCTATTGCAAAATAGTACAGGCAATATGCAGTTGGAGGTAGAACAAATTAGAGACAAGCTGCTTTTTTATTGATGCATTTTGGAAAAATTGTGTAGATACTTTATTCACAGGGTTTAAAAATGCGCATATTTTGGTGTAAAATAACCATTTGTAGCTTAAAAAATAAAAAAGTTACACAATTTTAAAATGATAAGGTACCTAAAAAATATTAAAAATTTTGATTTGCAAAGTGTTTAATTCACATATTTTGTGTTTCAAAAACAAAAAAGCTTGATATGAGGTAATTATCTGAAAAACTTATAAAAAGTCAATAATTTCCCCGTCTTCTATTTCAAATACAGCATTGATACAAGAATTACATAGCAATGGCCACACTTTGGGGAATACCTAATGCCCAAATTTTTACATGAATAATTACGTCCACATGAACTCTATTTGCAGTTACAAAAAACTTGATTACCCAAATTGAGTGGTATTATTTCTTATTTCGTTTTGTTTGGAATTAGGTCACCATTGTCGCTCTTTATACCCAGCCCCATTCTGCAGGATCCAGACGATTACCCAGCCATTCTTGAACTTTAATGTTCAAAATTTAAACTAATTAAGTTATTCATTTTTCAATGCTTTTTATTGATTTACGATTTACCTGATGATAAACTCGCAGTAGAGTAGATGTTCTAGCACGACTAGATTTAACTGACCTGAGAGTACCTTCCTATTGAAGTCATTCTATGATATAATAAAGTTCATTCAAGCTTGGCTTGAGGTAGTTTTGGCAATACTTTGGCGTAACTTGAGTACAAACTTTATACCGACTTTCAAAATTTTTGGTTTCAAAGCATGTTCTGCATAAAATGAAGTAAGGGCTTGAAACAATTGAGGATTCTTCCTTAGAACAAACAGACATGCCTTTTGACTTTTGATAAAGAGAAATGACGTTGTGCCGCATCCCGAAACTCGAAACTGCAAAAGTGCTATCTTCGTAAATTATTAACATATTGCCGGGCACGAATTATATTTTTTAAACATAAATTACTGGAAAATAACAACAAAAACTAACTTGCATATACAGGGTGTTTCAGAGAAGCTTGTCGTGGTCCAACTTTCTCATTTTAAATTGGATACCCTGTATATTATTATGATTATTGAATATTCGGATTCTACGTAAAATTCTGAGCAGATTTCATGTGATATACCTACCTACCCTATACAAGTTCGATTGTTTTGGAAATATTGACAGTTAAAAATTTACTTTTTGCAACTTTGACAGGCTGTAAAAGCTGAACGGTTAATTTTAGAGCAAAGCCGATCTCACATTCTTAGATTTTCATAAACTACCATTTGACACCAACTTTGAATTTAACCGGAGATTAAATTTAATTGGAATTTTCTGAGAAATTTGAAATTTTCAATCATGGATTTAATTCAAAGTTAGTGTCAAATGATAGTTTATGAAAATCAAGAATGTAAGATCGCTTTTGCTCTAAAATTAACCGTTTAAGTTTTACAGCCTGTCAAAATTGCAAAAAAGTCAATTTTCAACTGTCAATATTTTTAAACATTGAAACTTAGGTATACGGTATATTACATGAAACCTGCTCAGAATTTCACGTAGAATCCGAATATTCAATAATATACAGGGTATTCAATTTGAAATAAGAAAGTTGAACCACGACCAGCTTTTCTGAAACAGCCTGTATATGCGAAAATGAGTTTAAAAAAAAAGATTTCAACCATAAAACTTTAAATTGGGACACTCCTTTCTAAAATGTCAAATAAAAAAGGTAGAGGGGTTGAAATTTATAACCAATAACCCCCTACTAAGATTTGTGAAATTTGAAATATCACGGATTTTTGAAATAGGACAAATTTACTTACGGCTGTATCGATATGGTTATGGGAAAAAAATTGGTGCACATTATGTATTTTTCACTGCTCAACAAAAAATGTCAATATTTTTTCATAGAGGCTCAATTTACTGAGGTATTGACAAAAAAACAGAAAAATTCAAGATGGCGGCCATTTTTTTCCTACTTGGCAAAATCCTACCAAATGGGACTTTTAGTATGTTATACTACTGGTCATTATGTATCGATTTTAGCCAAAATTAGCTTGTCTCTAATTTGTTTTAAGTCGGCCTATTATAAGCTGCTACGTTTCCTGTACTAAAACTGCCCCCAATTGACTTGCTGGCACAAGAAAGGACAGAGATACACAGGAAGGGCAAAATGCAAAAAAATTGCTGCAAGGGAAGATTTGATGGAGCGATGGCAGGAGAAATGGCAGACATATGAAGGATGGGCAGCAAATTTCATGAAGGACATCAAGCTATGGTGCCAAACCAAGTGGACGGAGACTGACTTCCACTTAACGTAGGCCTTCACTGGTCATGGAGTTTTTGGGTCCTATCTGAAGAAAATAAAGAAGCAGCCGTCCAGCCAATGCTGGTTCTGTGGCGACGAAGACAAGCCAGAACACACACTATTCATCTGTGATAATTTCGAGAGAACAAGACTGATTGCAGAACTGAAATGTGGAGTAAGAATAGATAAGAACAACATAGCAGAACTGCGACTGCAGAGCGAAAGTAACTGGAAGAGCATCACAGAGATGCTACGCAGAATCATGAAATTAAAGGCGGAAGAGGAAAGGAAACGAGGGAATGGAAGAGCATGATACGTTATTGCAAGAAGACAAAGTGTATACACCTCAGGACTAAAGTGTTCTTTATACCATCGAAAAATTAAAGCCCTCCCTTCGTTTGGTCCATACATTTTTGTTTCGGGATTAAAAGTACCACTTTAGTCCCTAGGTATATGATGTACTAATTATTCAAAAATTCTAATCATATTTACCTCTTCTAGCCACATAACTGGAAACATAATAGTTTTGAAATCTTTCACAGCAGTAATGTATGGTGCCTGTTGTACCCTCAAATTAAGTTGAACTCTCACTTTGCCTTCGATGGGAACACCCAATTTCTATAAAATTTAAACCAAATTAAATTTATTCATGGTCCGGGATACAGTACATAAAACAAGTAGAATTGTTCAATACTTACTGGTTGAATTTTAAAATAGGTTTCATGTAAATCCCTAGAGGGAACAAGACCGTCAATTTCATCCAGAAGTACGTGATCGGCATCCAAGAAGTGCGGGAAGGAAAGATATACTGGAGCGTCTGAAAAATTATACTTGCGTGAGATAGAATAATAATTATTATCGCGGAGCAATACATTTAGAATCATGTATTGTATGTACAATGTACAATTTTATGAACTTTTTATTTGCTTACCGTATTGACAAGGGCTGATATTCTGCAATCCTTTAGGCGGACAATACTCGTTTCCAGGACAGTAGCATTTGTTTTCTGGATATTTTTCTACTGATTCGAAAATGTTGTCTGCTGAGGTGTACAAATCAACTGCGATACCTTAAAAATTATAGGCAAATACTTAATAAAATTGGAAATAAGATGGAAAGACAACACACATCCCAACATGTTTAAAAACTATAATAGCTTCATCACCAGGGCAAATGGGTAGGAGATTTTTCCTTGGAAGAAGGCATTTAGCCAAGCATCCTGGACAAAGTCCAAGTTTTTATAAAATTTTAAGCAATCAAAGGTTCATAACTAAAAAGGCTAATATAAAATCACTTGAATATTAATAGTTGGGAACCATTTTTGAAGTTTTGAAATCACTCTCAGAGCTCAGAACTTAAAAAAAATAATACCTAAAATGTGTTTTTTTTTTAAAGATAAAAGTCAAAATGACATTATGTTGGCAATACAATGTAAAATTGTCAATGCTTCCAAATTTTTATGTAGAAAAGGCTTGTGTTGCCAACATAGTTACTAAATTTTTGACTTGGGGAATTATCTTTAAAAAAAAAACAGACTTTATCAATTATTATCAATAGTTAATGAATTCGGAAAAAAATTAACTTCTCTTGCTGCTAATTTTTGTTGAATGCTAAAGTCTTCTTGATCATATACAAAGTTTTCTATAATATTTTCACACCCAAATACTTAGCAGGGTTTACCTATTTGAAAATATGTTCATGTAATTCAGATTGCAAGCTAAAGTTAAATTTCAACAGACAAAGAATGTTAATTTGTACAACATTTCTAGATTTCTTTCGTCCTTGGGTGATATACATCAAAAACTCATTTTTTTTTTTTAATTTGATTCACATTAAAATACTTGTGCACGTAACAACATAATTATAAGATAATCGTTTAATTTTAATATGTAATTACGTCCGCATTTGTCTTATCTGAAAATATTTTAGAGTATATCAAATTGAAAAATGAGTTTTTGATGTTTATATTATCAAAGGAAATAATGCTACCGATCAACTTGACTGCTGAAAGTTCAACTTTAGCTTTGTAATCGAATTTTACAACAGCAATGGAAAAAGATTCAGAATTTAGCGACATGATGGACTACTTCTAAAAAATTCTTACCATGTTTTTCCATAGACTTTCTGTACTGCAACGGTAACGTCCTGCATATATCTTTATCGTACAAATAAACGATGTCTTTTTTAGTGTAATATCTCGGAGGAAAAAATGAACCTTCGCTAGCTTTCAATTCGTTGCAAGGTGCATTTTCCCAATATGGCAAAGTCGGTTTTCCATTTAAATTTGCTATGATTCCGAACTCCTGCATCCCTGTTAGGCCTGTGTAGACGTTGTGGACTTCAGGAAGAGTACCGTTTCTCTAAAAAGAAAAATTATATTTTTAAATTCTGATTAAGGATGTTCAAGGGCTTTTTAATTGTACTATTAGGTATTAGAAAATTAGTGAACAATTTCAAAAAGACGTCATTATTCAATTATTTTTACACCATTATCGGTATCGCGTTGGATATGTATTGTCCGTCCTTTTTAATGTGACACTTTCTATATGAGGAGCGAGGGGGTGAAGCAAATGGCAAAAAAAGGTGTGTCAGGTGACTGGCGTTCTAATGTAGGGTGCCACCAGCTCACATTCCTTTGGAGTATCAGATTAAAATCGACGGACTTTATTCACCAGTGCCGGATCCACGGGATGGGGGGGGGGGGTAAAGGGGCTAATTACCCCCCCCCCCCTAGAGAGGCGTAAAATTTTTTTAATTATTAAAAAAACACACAAATTATTTTTTGGTGGCTTAAACTGCGTTTTGGGCGTGGCACCCGAGAAAATTTTCTTCTCCTACTCCTATTTGGTTCTACTCTGGGTGTGACCCCTTCAAGCTCAGCTCAAATAGTTTTCGAGATGTTGAGCCTCAAAATTGAAACTTTTGTCTCAAGTTTGGAAAACCTTGGGTTTCCAAAATATGTCCCTTTGAAATATTTGAAAATAAAATTTCCTCGCATAGATAGGTACCCCCCTTTAAAAAAAAATTGATTTTTCTAAATTTTTTCGTCTCGTATAGATAAATTTTTCCAAATCCAAACTCACCTAAAATAGCGTACGAATAAGATACGAAGCAACAGAAATATTTGAAATTTTTGAAGAAAGATATAAGTTAGGGTAGGGCCTTGAAGGCGAATTCGTAAAAATCATGAAACATCATAGATTATTTGATTAATGAAACGCCAATTTGTTCTAAAGTTAGAGCAAGTAAGACCAGTAAGAGAAATCGTCCATACCTTGAAAATATTAGCTTATTATAGGACCACTACCTCCAAGTTATCCTAAGAAGACCCAATCAAGAGGGGACGGAAATAGTGGTACCCACGAGAGTCTCGTGCAAACAAAGTACACAGAATATAAATATATACAGTCGGACTCTGGGTAAACCGTTATCCGCCTACCCCCAATGAACTATATACTAAACGCAACTGGAACGGAACAAAGCACAAAATTGTGTAACCTTTTTGGTTTTGTATACGCATCCTTGTCTGACTCAAGCAGTATGCATGACACAGACAAGGACTACAGTGTGACTTTCTTGACAAAAAGGTCACAACTTTACTAATGGTATGTAAATGAGCGTTGCTGTTCCAGAGTATAAGGTTCATCGCCTACCCCTTCCCTTAGAATTAATGCCGGGACACATCTATCATGCATTCTTCCGATTCGACTCCGATCATACAATCAGGGTCCTTATTCTTGGAACAGGGGAGCAGCGTTCCCAGGTGAACGAGTGTTCCATCTTCGTTACTCCTATTATCAGTTGCATATAATTGAGAAAGACGGAACACTCGTTCTCCAGGGTACGCTGCTCCCTGTTCCAAGAATAAGAGCCCTCCATCATTTCGGAGCATGAAACACCGAAATATAGGTAGGTGCATGTGGGGACAGGGGATTACATTATATCAAGTAGGTATAGTACTTTCACTACCCATTTGGAATGACCCCATTTTTGTTTATTATTCATGAATCAGATGAAACAAAAAATTACCAACCAATCACAAATCACTTAAACGACTGGTAAACGATTGGTACTTCCAAATAGGTATTAAAAATACTACAAGTACCTATCCCGCACTAGACTCTAATTTGCGAGACTCTTGTACGAGACGCGAGACGAGACGAGACTTGAGGCTGCGAGATAAGTCTTCTTATTTTATCGACGTGACAAGACTTTATGAAAGTCTCGTCTCATCGGTCTTGTGGGAATCACTAGAAAATTCAGTATGCGGACGAACCCACCTATGAATGAAATTATTCCAAGAATAGCTCTCTCCATTGAAATCGCAATATTAATACTCAAACAAACTGTCCTCATATTCCCTGGATTAGGGAGGCGACTACTCCAGAGGCCAGTTAAAAAAAAAAAAACTTTACGGCCAAGATCCATCCTGACAGCTCGTATAAATGATGGATTATTCTGATGAAGGACTATACATGCTCATTAGCTCATTTGGAGTTATACAGGGTGCGGCAGTTAAACCTGCAATTTTGAAAAAAGCGCGGGAGCCAAGGAAGTGGGCAGGGCGAGTTGTCAAGTTTACCGTTGTGTTCCCCCCTTCAAAACATTTAAGTAGTCGTAGAACAGTGGTCCAAGCAAGAACGATCCCAGTCGAACCAGTATTGTGAATATGGTTGCATTTTCCAAAATTGTATTTAAGAAATGTAGGTACGAAAAATGAAAATATAGTTCCAAGCAATGAGGGGTTTCTTTGTTTCCACCAGTATTCCTTCACGTGCTTGGAAGTGTTTATGTTACCTTTTCTCAGAACCTCCCCAGAAACCCTATAGGAAGAATGAATACTTGTCAGCACTAAATATTGATGTTTATCCAAAACAAGAGAAATTGCCAACAGGGTCTCCAGATTTAAGAAACCACATAAGAAATAAGCAGAATAAATTTGAAACAATTATGGTCAACGGAGCCATGTATAGCTTCGGAATGTTCAAAGCCTAGAAAGCAATGTAGAAAATGTAAGTTATTGGGACACGAAGAAAAGAACTGCCCAAAGCAAAACTTCTACAAACCTGTGAAAATGTCAAAGAGGTATTTATTAATTTGCAATAAAGGCCGTGGCCTAATTAGTTCCACGTTGTATCACCGATCTGTCGGAGAGTGGTTTAGTGCCGATTTTAAACTCATCAGAATATCTAGTTTGTTAGGAAAAAGATCGAGTAGTAGCACGAGGGTTATTGTGTAAACTTGAAAGTCATTTTGATGAAATAAATATTTGCTACATAAATCAAGAATCTATGAATTATTTTGTTTTAGAAGATTTAGAAAATGTCAGGACTGACATTGATACAAGCACAAAAATGGAACTTCTTTCTTTGCCTAATAAATACAGAGACTGTTTTGCCTGAACTAGGGAAAACTCATATTGCTGAAATTTGCATTGATTTGAATGACAAAAAACTTGTTATACTTATCGACCATATCGTTCAGCCTTCGCTAAGCGGGGAAAAGTTAGATACACAGTTCAAGAATTACTTGGCAATAATATCATCAGGAAATCTTCTTCTCCTTATGCCAGTCCAATTTTATTGGTGCGCAAAAAGAACGGCGAATCGCGTATGTGCATAGATTATCGTGCTTTGAACGCTAAAACTATTAGGGATAAATATCCTCTGCCGCGCATTGATGATTTACTGGATGGGCTCAAAGGTGCGCGATGCACTAGTTTAAATCTTGCTTCTGGATATCAACAGGTGCCAGTAGCCTCGAATTCTATCGAAAAGACAGCTTTCATAACCCCCGATGGCCAATACGAGTATGTAACTATGCCATTTGGTCTCGTAAATGCGCCTGCAGTCTTTCAGAGGGCAATTCATAAAATTCTAGGTTTTTCACGTTATACTACAGCTATGGTGTACTTAGATGATATTTTGATACCGTCAACGGACGAAAAAAATGGATTCACGAATTTCGAAAACGTTCTAAACTCTTATACGTGAAGCCAATATGACATTACGTTTTAAATAAATAATGTAGATTTCTCTTGAGTCAAATAAGTTATCTGGGACATGAAGTCTCCTATGAAGGAATCAAACCTGGATCCGAAAAGATTGAATCTGTACGAGATTCTCCAACACCGACAAACGTACATACAAATCCGACAGTTCCTAGGACTTGCCAGTTATTTTCGCAAGTATATTAAAGGATTCTTACTTAGACCACTGTTCCATGAATACTATAATGCTTTGTCCAAGACGCCATTCAGTTATCCAAAAACGGAAAAGCTGCAGGTCCAAATGGTTTCTACACAGGAGTTATTAAAATCTTAAAAAATAAGGAGTCACTACATGCAATAAGGAAGCGGGGACGATCGGGTATCATTCCCTCTGACTGGCTTGAATCAACATTAGTGACGCTTCCGAAAAGAAACTCCAAAAAGATGAAGCGATTATCGCGTTATTAGCTTGATGAGCCATTTTCTCAAGATTTTCCTAAAAATCATCCATTAAAGACTAGACGCAAAGTGCTAGTCCTTCACAAGCGAATCCCAATTTGATTTTCTTCTTTTAGCACAAGAGAGGTTTTGTTTAGTATCCAAGTGCTAGTTCAAAATAGACGCATGCTTCGTAGACTATGAGAAAGCGTTTTACAGGGTACAACATGAAAAGCATATGAAAATTCTCAATGATGTAGGCCTAGATGATGAAGACCTCAAGATAGGTATAGTCGCAAATGTCTACTGCAATCAGACTGCACAAATCAAGGTAGAACAACAAATGTCTGACGAAGTACGGATAAGAAGGGATGTCCGGCAAGGCTCCATCCTTTCAACATTTTTTTCGAACAAAATGTTTGAAAAAGCATTAGAAGATTGCACCGAGGGAATTTCTATCAACGGCGTGAATAATAACAATCTTCAGTATGCGGAAGATATTGTTTTAATCGCTGATTCTCTGGAAAGTCTCCAAATATTACTTAATCATTTGGCTACTGAAAGTGGAGAATTTGAATTAAAATTGAACTCCAAAAAATCTAAATGTTAGTAATTAGTAATTAGTAAGAACCAGGTTGGAGGAGGCATTCTTCAAGTATAGAACCAACAGATCGATTGGGTCCAATCATACAGATACCTAGGATGTCAGGATAATGAAGTAATGAAGACTGGGATAACATGCAGGAGGTTCGTGCCAGGATTGAACAAGCAAGTGTATCGTTTGTAAAAATGAAGTACGTGTTGTGTAGTCAAGGTCTCTCGCTCTCTGTTCGCACTCGAGTACTACGTTGCCACGTTTTCAGTATTCTCTATTATGGGATTGAGGCGTGGACTCTGACACACCATGTGTAAAAAGCTAGAGGCTTTTGGAAT